GAGTTGCAGATGTGTCATGTATTTGCTAGATTTTTACTAATCTGCATGCCAGAATAGCTGCTCAAGTTCTTGTGGCCTGGTTTTGGTAAGAACTGGGTAGGTTTCCTTTACTCAGTGGTAACTTGTGTCCCACCAGCTCTTTCCAGGTCCTGGGTGCTACCGGTCTGTGCCGTTTTGTTTCCTCAGGTATTCCATTGTTCGACACAACACCAACGTTTGTGCCCTTGTACGAGCTGATCACCCAGTTTGAGTTATCCAAGGAGGCTGATCCTCTACCTTTAAACCACAATATGCGCTTCTATGCAGTAAGTATATTGTACACCAGGACATTAAGACTTTCAGACACGTGTTTCAGGTATCCTTCCAGGAGGAGCTAATGTAAATAGTGAGTTACCCTGCTAGGTGGATGATATTAGCAGTTAAGATCTGTCTGCTGACTCTGCTGCAGTAGTGTGGGATTTAGCCTTCCCAGGTTCTATCCCTTCTTGCTCTGATCTTAAAGTGTGACTGAATAAAGCAAAATCACATCGCTTTGAGTGAAAACTTACCTTAGTGATAGAACCTGTTGACTTCAGAGGATTTCTCTTTCCTCAAAAGAGAGCTGTACTGTATGAAACTAGTTTAGTTGAGGAAGTGAATACTGTCTGTTTCTGAGGAGCCTGAGTGCTGTTTTGTTTGTTCAAATATGCTTGTCATTTAATAAAAGGAAAGTATGTTTATTACTTGTCATTTCCAAAGGTGATTTGACATTGCTTGGATTTGGAGCCTGCTCTTTCCTTCCTAGATGTCTGGTTTTGCCTTGTGTCCAGCATTAGTTGGAGTAAAGCAGGAATTGTTTGTCAGGCTCTTCCAGGACAGCAGCACTGTTACTTTCTGAACAAGGATGCTCCTCTCCCAGATGGAAGAAGTCTTCAAGGAACTCTGATTAGTAAGATCGCCTTCCAGCACCCTGGACGGGTTCCTCTCATCCTCAATTTGATCAGGCATCAGGTGGCTTACAACACACTCATTGGGAGCTGCGTCAAGCGAACAGTCTTAAAAGAAGGTAGGTACCACATCAAGTGGAAAAGAATATGTAGTTCATAGGGAACCCTGGATAATTTCCTCAGATTTGGTAGTAAGAAATTGGAACAGTATAGGAAATACTTCTATCAGCCTTTTATTTTTCTCTGTATGGGGGTATTGAGCATTTTCCCTGTAGTTCATTTCCCGTGATCTTTAATAGTTCCCTTGTCTTCCAGATTCCCCCGGGATCCTTCAGTTTGAAGTTTGTCCTCTCTCTGACTCCTGTTTTAGTGTGTCCTTTCAGCACCCTGTAAATGACTCCCTAGTGTGTGGTAAGTGGACTCAGTAAAAGCATGTAGGTAATTCTGAAAAGGATAGCAGGGTTTTTTTCCACCTGTAACCAGAATGTTGATCTCTCCCAAACGCCTTCTGTCTTTCAGTGGTAATGGATGTGCAGGATTCTACACATGTGAACTGTAAGCTGTACAAAGGGCTTTCTGATGCTCTCATCTGTACAGATGACTTCATTGCCAAAGTTGTTCAAAGGTGAGACAGATCTTTTTGTGATGCCGCTCAGTGTTGTTCAAGTGTTGTTTATAAACCAAAATGTAGTGGTTCGTGTGTGCTGCTAGTAACTGTGCATGCCTACAATAACCCTTCACTAAGCCTTTCATCCTGGCATTTCCCTTCCCTAAAGTTGTTAAAATTACCTTAGTGAACATTGCTTAGTGCAGCCAGATGCAAGCTAAACCTTGTGCTTTGTGTTTTGCAGATGTATGTCCATTCCTGTGACCATGAGAGCAATTCGTAGAAAAGCAGAAACGATTCAGGCAGACACCCCAGCCTTGTCCCTCATTGCAGAGACAGTAGAAGATATGGTGAAGAAAAACCTTCCCCCAGCCAGCAGCCCAGGGTATGGCATGACCACAGGCAGCAATCCAATGAGTGGTACCACTACCCCAACCAACACTTTTCCTGGGGGGCCCATCACTACTTTGTTTAATATGAGCATAAGCATGAAAGAGAGGCATGACTCAGTGGGCCATGGGGAGGACTTCAGCAAAGTGTCTCAGAACCCTATTCTCACTAGTTTGTTGCAGATCACAGGGAATGTGGGCTCTACCATTGGCTCAAGTCCAACCCCTCCCCATCACACACCACCACCAGTATCCTCACCAGCCAGCAACACCAAGAACCACCCCATGCTCATGAACCTCCTTAAAGAGAATCCCCCTCAGGATTTCTCTACTCTGTATGGGAGCAGCCCTCTCGAAAGGCAGAACTCTTCCTCTGGCTCCCCTAGAATGGAAATGGGCCCTGGGGTGAATAAGCAAAAGAAAAAAAAATCCCGCGTCCCAGCAGACAAGCCCAAGCATCAGACTGAGGACGATTTCCAGAGGGAGCTCTTTTCAATGGATGTTGACTCCCAGAATCCTATTTTTGATGTCAACATGACTGCAGATACCCTGGACACCCCTCACATTACTCCAGCACCTAGCCAATGCAGCACTCCTCCCACTACATACCCGCAGCCTATACCTCACTCACAGCCCAGTATTCAGAGAATGGTTCGACTCTCTAGTTCGGACAGCATCGGAGCCGATGTCACTGATATCCTTTCGGATATAGCAGAGGAGGCTTCCAAGCTCCCCACCGCTAATGAAGACTGTCCCCCCATTGGTACTCCAGTAAGAGACTCTTCTAGTTCAGGACATTCACAAAGTGCCCTCTTTGACCCAGATGTTTTTCAGACGAGCAATAGCGAGAATCCGTACACAGATCCGGCAGACCTGATAGCAGATGCTGCTGTGAGCCCCAACAGTGATTCTTCAAACCATTTTTTTCCAGATGGAGTAGATTTCAATCCTGACTTGTTGAACAGTCAGAGTCAAAGTGGCTTTGGGGAGGAATACTTTGATGAGAGTAGTCAGAGTGGAGACACAGATGACTTCAAGGGCTACGCACCCCAGGCCCTAAGTACTTTGGGGGTGCAAGTGTTAGGGAGTGATGGGGGAGAAAATAAATTTAAGGGGAGCAGTCAGTCTGACACGGTGGATTTTAGTATTATTGCAGCTGCAAGCAAAGCTCTGGGGTCCTCTGACATCATGGAGCATCACACTGGAGGTCAGAGCCCTTTACTAAATACAGGGGATTTGGCAAAAGAAAAGTCTCAGAAACGGGTAAAAGAAGGCAATGGTTCTGGAAGTAGCATGGCAGGTCCTGGGCTTGACGGGAAGCCGGGGAAGCGCAGCCGGACTCCATCCAGCGATGGTAAAAGTAAAGAGAAGCTTCCAAAGCGAAAGAAGCAGGAAACAGATGGGAAATCTCCCTCTCATAGTTCGTCCAACAGGCCCTTTACCCCACCTGCAAGCACAGGCGGGTCCAAATCTCCTGGGAGTTCAGGCAGATCTCAGACTCCTCCTGGTGTAGCTACTCCTCCTATTCCAAAAATTACAATTCAGATTCCAAAAGGAACAGTGACTGTTGGCAAACCATCCTCACATGGCCAGTATACGAGTAGTGGCTCTGTCACCTCCTCCAGCAGCAAAAGCCATCATAGCCATTCTTCCTCCTCCTCTTCCTCCTCCTCTTCAACCTCAGGCAAAATTAAAAGCAGCAAATCAGAAGGGTCTTCTGGCTCGAAGATGAGCAGTAGCCTCTACTCGAGCCAAGGCGGCTCAAGTTCAGGTCAGTCGAAAAGCTCGGCTCAGTCTGTGGGAAAGCCTGGATCCTCCCCCATCACCAAACACGGCCTCAGCAGCGGGTCTGGAAGTACCAAGATGAAGCCTCAAGGAAAGCCATCGTCGCTTATGAACCCTTCTATGAGCAAACCAAACATTTCCCCATCCCATTCGAGACCCTCAGGAGGTTCTGACAAGCTTGCTTCTCCCATGAAGCCTGTTCCAGGTACTCCTCCATCATCTAAAGCAAAGTCACCTATAAGTTCAGGTTCTGGCGGCTCCCATATGTCTGGGGCTGGATCGAGCTCAAGTATGAAGTCTTCTTCAGGAATGGGTTCCTCTGGGTCTATGTCTCAGAAACCACCTCCTTCATCAAACTCTTCTACAGCATCTTCATCTTCCTTTTCATCTAGTGGGTCTTCCATGTCTTCATCCCAAAACCAACATGGAAGTTCCAAAGGGAAGTCTCCTAGCAGAAACAAGAAGCCATCTCTGACTGCAGTCATAGACAAACTTAAACATGGGGTTGTCACTAGTGGGCCTGGTGGTGAGGACCCGATGGATGGACAAATGGGGCCGAATTCCAATTCCTCAAGCCATACTATGTCCTCCAAACATAATATGTCTGGAGGTGAATTCCAGGGCAAACGTGAGAAGAGTGACAAAGAGAAATCTAAAGTCTCTGTTTCCGGAGGATCTGTTGACTCTTCCAAGAAGACTTCAGATTCCAAAAATGTCGGAAGCACTGGAGTGGCCAAAATTATCATCAGCAAGCATGATGGTGGCTCCCCTAGTATTAAAGCCAAAGTAACTTTGCAGAAACCCGGGGAAGGAGGTGGGGATAGCTTAAGGCCTCAGATGGCTTCTTCCAAGAGCTACGGGTCCCCCCTGATCAGTGGCTCTACGCCCAAGCACGAGCGCTGCTCGCCCAGCCACGGTAAGTCACCAGCATACACTCCCCAAAACGTAGACAGCGAGAGCGAGTCGGGCTCTTCCATAGCCGAGAAATCCTACCAGAACAGCCCCAGCTCCGACGACGGCATTAGGCCTTTGCCTGAATATAGCTCAGAAAAACATAAGAAGCACAAAAAAGAGAAGAAAAAAGTGAAAGACAAAGACAGGGACAGAGATCGGGATCGCGATAAGGACAGAGACAAGAAGAAATCTCACAGCATTAAGCCAGAGAGCTGGTCTAAATCCCCGATTTCAGCTGATCAGTCTCTCTCCATGACAAGCAGTGCTATCATTTCAGCCGAGCGACCGTCCCGAGCTAGCCCGGAGTTTTTGATTGGGGAAGAAGATGACGATCTCATGGATGTTGCTCTAATTGGAAATTAATTTTCTTGCTGTCTTTAAAAGATGAGCTGTATGCGGGACCTGCGGGCTCTAGAGGTGGAAAGAAAAGAACCATTCACTACATACCCACCACACTGAATTTTAAGAGAAAAAAGTATTTCCAAGGATCTCAAAACTCTGAACAGGACACGTGTGAGTGCCGACCTCTGGCTGTGTCCAGCAGTTCCATATGGCAAGCCAGGTTCCTGACTGTGGCCTTGGTCCTGCAGATGCTTACACTCATCCTTAATTTAGAAGTATTAATAGTCCTGTTAAAAAACGACGGGCAGGAGACTAAGTATGAGTGTAAGTGTGTGAGCAGACCCCCAAACGGTGCAAACAGAAACATAGGTGATTCTAGGAGAATCTGACTTCCTCTGCCCCCGCTTCCCCTCCAGAATAAGTTGATCTTATTTTTAGGAAGTTTTAAGATAATTATTTTAGGGCATGTTTTGGGGTTGGGTTTTATTCTTTTTATAAGGGTGGATGGAGGAAAAAAAAAAAAGCGCTTTTAAATTGTTTTTACTTTTATGGCATTTCTTCATTCAGTGCCTGATTCGGAGCGGTGCTGAGGAACTTGATCTTCCTCTGCTGGGGCCGCTCTGCAGAATCAGGCACTGCGTTCTGATGTATATCAGCATTTTATTCCAGGTCCAAGTGATGAAGGATAGCTGTCTTATGTTTGACTTTCTTTTCATTTTAGCTATTATGTCCATGTTTGAATGCCTCGTGCTGCTTGTTTTCATGCAGTCTCTGTTTTAATTGTATGATGCAGAGCCCACAGGGACTTGGCAGTTTGGGTAGAACCTATGGTTTTGGAAAGCTCTGCACTCGTGCAGCCACTGTAGCTTTGGTGAAGTTGGTAAAATTCCGGCATGCGTTGGAGCAAAACTAAATTTCCAAAGGGACACCACTGTCTTAACCTGAGCATTGCTTCCTCGAAAGCCTAGCAAACAGAATTTCCCCAGAATTGCCTGATGCTGCATTTGTAAAGAGACAGACTCTAGAAGCTGCGCACAAGACCCAGTTCCGTTTGTAGAACTATGTGTGATTTATCTGCTGTGAGCACTTGCATTAATATTGATAGGACAGCTAGTGTGCACTCCTGGTTAAAAAACTGGGCCTTGCTTGCTCAATCTGTTTCTGTTGCTGACGTGCTTACCGTTGGGTTTGTCTTCTTTTAACCTGCAGCACATTTCCCAAATAGCAGCTCTGGGAAGGCACATTCCCTTCTCCCCGGGTGGGAGTCATTCCTACGCCGGTGCTAGCACACACTTACAGTGCTGGAAAAACAGACCTAACTGCTCCAACTGGATACAGGTTGCAGCAGAAGCAGCATTTTCCTTAAATGATCGATTTTCCCTTTTTGGCTGGACTTAAGAGCATGATTCCTCTGTCCTCTTTTGTAGAGGAAGGTGCTTTATTTTAAAAGCAATTAAAGCTCTTTTGCCTAAGAGGAAAAATGGGAAATGGAGAATGTTTTGTGAACCTGTTTGTGCTGGGTGGAATCCTGCTCCTGTTGAGTCTTGCTGTTGACTCCGGGGGACCAGGAGTTTCTTTAAACCACCGAAATTTCCAGTCCTGCCAACAACCTGACCCCAGTACCACTCCAGACAAGCAGTTTCTTCTCTGGCTCTTACAAGCCATAGCAAGACAGCAACTGTTCAATTAATTGTAGGGATTTTTCACACCATCTGCCAGTGTTCAGCTGAATTCCAGTATTCCTGTGCAGTGCAGGAGCCATGAAATTCTCCAAATCCACCCCAAACTTTGGGGAGCTCTTGTATTTTCCAACCTTCATCCTGTGCTCCCAGTGGCCTGCGTACAATAGCTTCCCTCTCACAAACGTTCCCATCTTTGTGTGCTGAGATGGCAGAAAAGAAGTAAATAAAGCCTAAACCTGGAGCAAATGACATTATCTTATGCAGCATCAGAATCGTATGACTGTGGGGTGTCTGTGAAGAGGATGTAAGAAATACAACACCAGATGACTTTATCTTGAGACCCTGCTACAGCGGCTGCATCTCGGAAATACCTGTTCAGCCTCCAACAGGTTGTCATCTGTTTTAATCCTGTCCCTCTCATTTTAAGTTGCTTTGTTTTGGAAAGGCCCGTTGAACTGTTCTGGGTCGTGTGAAGGCATAAGCAGCCTTCCAAAGCAGCGCTCTTACAAAGGTGGATCAGGACTGGGGATTTCAAGGAATGGTTTCCTGGATACGTGTCATTAATCAGTGGTGTTTTGCCAATATGAAACATACATTAAAAGTTAAAAAGTGAATACTGTTCAGCTTCGTAATTAACACGTAAATGCATTTTAAATGAAAGAGCTGAACATGTTTCCTTCTCTGCTTGCCCAAGACCAAAGTTCAATATTCTAAATTTCTCCTGCAAAAGGTGGGCATCACGAACACCTACAGAAGTACAGGGAACAAAGTCTCATCCTCTCTAAGCCTCTGTGACACCAAGTGCTACAAGAGAAACTGAGTCCTGAACTGTGGTCATAGCAGGTAATAAGCTTTTTGATCCATTTTGATGCACTGTACCCTATCCCCTTTGTACCCCATTCGTTTTATATCATGTGAGAAAAAGATATATCAGAGCCAGGCAACGGTTGCATGATGCTTCTATTGCATTGACTAGAGATGAGGTACACCTGTCGATATAACACATTTTACATGTGAATGCTTGGTCTCTTACAAATGTTTTATTTTTAAAATATTTTTGCTTATTCTCTATGATATTTTACATCTTTCAGTATTGGAAAGATAAATGTGTAAACAAAATAAAAAAGCCAAACCTTTTAATCTCAGGTAGAGGAATTGAGATTAAAAGAAAATGGTTCTTTCCTAAATGGTCATTATGTAAATACATGTCTTGAAATTTGCTTTTTTTGTGGGCAACCATGTAAATAATTCCAGCTACTTTTTTCATTCTTTTTTGATGTAGAGTGTACTTTCAACTTTTTTGGAAATATTGCAAAGAACATGTTTATTTACATGCAAATAAATCTCTTTGGTAAAGAGGTCTTCTGTTTCCTGGGAGCCCCTCTGCTTCCCTAGAGCCGACTTTGCGTGGAGCCGGCGGACGTTCGCATCCCTGGAAAAGGCGGCAGCGCGTGGAGCAGGGAAGCGGCGCCCCCGGTGTCCCGGATCCCCGTCCCGGGAAGCGGCCCTTCCACGCTTGATTTTCCCGCGAGAATGACGTCACCGAGCCCCCGCGCGCGTGATTGGCCGGCGTCGGCCGGAAAGGGCGCGAAGAGGAGGGGGGGGCCTCTCTCCCCTCCTCCCCCCCCCCCCCCGCGGCATAGGGGGGGGGGGGCCCCCCTTTG